AAAATTGAGCAGCATGGTAATGCTGCTGCCGCAACATTTCGGTAATGCACTTGCAGAGATTCAAGTGCACATATTCTTTTCTCAGTCTCTCGGGGCGCTCAGTCCCCCTATACTATGAGTAGGCGACGACGAACATTTCACACCGACCATCAAGTGAAATTACCACTGAATGGGCAGTGTTGTACACTCGCCCCGAGAGGATTAGGTGAAGACGAAAAAGGTACCGCCTGACTGATGAGATCGTCAAGGTCGAAACACGTGTACCGGGCTCACTAAGTCTGCCCTATATAACAGCCCACATGCGTGGCTCAAAAAGTGACTATCTGGCAATTATCTCAGTTGATTGAATTCAATACTATTTAGCAATTCCTGTTTCTTTAATGTGACACCTCCATCCATCAGTGATATATTCGATTCCTCCCAGCGGTCATACTCTATTATCTACTCATATGGTACAGGCGATTATAGTTAAATGCGCTTTCATACATAACCGTTCTCTCAGAGCCGTTCGTGATTTTGTGCTGTCAAGAGAAATCTTCGGACGCCTATACGCTCTCGTTTCCATGCATACACATGGCCAACTGTGGATTCTTCCGTACAATTACCACAAACGCACATATCCCGAAGACTTCAAAGAGCTGGTACGTTTTTTTTTTTGGCAATGAACTATTATGAAAGTTGGCGCATGAATTACAATAGGTAATGGGTTGTCCAGTAATTTCTTCCGCGTTATTTTTTATTTATTTCTTTCTATTCAAAATCGAGTTATTGTCAAAAGATTGTGGTGTATTGAAGAATATTCTAGTAACACTTGAGTGTGATTGTAGCTTCATTGCTCGCCATCTAGATGAAATGAGCTCATCGATAGACATGAGCTCATACATTAATTGTTCGCCTCACATTGCAAAGTTGACTCCCCAAATTCTGGAGAGACTGGACTGGGCCACGATACCACATTCATCATGTAGCTCTGATATGCTCCGTCACATCATCATCTTTGCGCAGCCTAAAGCAGAATTTCAGGGGGAAAATATAAAGACTGCAACTAACTTAGACTTGACCTCACCGACATCTTTGATCGCCAACCTCATTCTTTCCTGGAGGAAGGCATCAATTTTTGACCAGTAAATGACTGCATATAGTGGTTATGATGATTAGTTAATTCCTTCACATAAACAGCAACTGAAATATCAAAAGTGTCGATTGTGAAAGAACTTGTGGGACAACCAATACATTAGCAGTTAGTTGATTGTTCTTATTCAAGCCTAAACTTTTTTCTACATAATCCGTCATCGTAGTGTTTTTCTTTGCACTGTGCGGATCCCAGTACTTCTAGCATTCAACTCGTTTTTGGTCTTCTTGATCGGCGTAGAAAACTGGTTGAGCGAGTCTCTCTGCAATCTCGAGGATAGCATTGCTGTGGCGTTCCAGTGGACGTTCTTGTTTGCTGCCGGAGAGATATGGGGGGGGGAGCTGGGGCTGGGCTTCACGTGCGCCGTGACCAACATCACAACCACTCGGCCACCCCACGGCGCCCCGCGAAGCCTAAAATATTATCTCATTTCTCCTGCCCTTATTCAGTATACTTCAGTTGATTTTTTCCTTACTGTAAGCGGTTCTTCATTTCCACTTTTATGGTCGATCGATAGTTTTTAGAGCAAAAATGATGTGTTGGGTGTTTGTCAGAAAAGCGCCATACTGCATTTAGAAATGTACAAAAAAACGCTTTTCGAAAGATCACTGATTAAAGATTTCAGTCAATTCAAATTTTCGACACAATTACTCATTATCATTAAATTAGGCTGCGCGCCTGATGTTGGTTCAAATAAGATAGTCACAGGACAGTTGTGAAGCACTCGGAAAATGCTGACACCAGCATGCAAATAAAGGGACCATAATAAAATGTCGTAATGAAGCAGAGTCTCTTGTACAATTCTGTCATATTTAGCCTATCGCCAACTTTCGTTAATAGAAAACTATCGCCTTATCTTCAATATCTTGCATATAATGTCCGTAAGGGACGAAAATTAGGCGTATAGCGAGAGGGTTGAATATCTTGTAAGTATAAACAATGAATATAGCGTACTTTCAGGAGCGCCTAGCGATGAGAGCTGCCGATAAAGTGTATTCATACCGAGAGACTAAGTACAGAATTGGCACTGCGGCAGATATGCTTGGTGAGTGGTGAGCGAATTCTACAGCTGTATCATAAGAACTATCAAAAACAACCTACCAAGTTTGCTAAGGCTCGCCAAAACCTATTTGCCGATCCTGAGCATGTTGAGTGAATCCGATGGCAATTGAGTTATCTCAGTCTTTAGAATACTTTTCTAAAAAAACTGGTGTAGTCGAGTTTTCAACAGTACCTACTATCTTTCTTAATTGTTTAATGGGCGTTACAATGTGTCAGGATTTACAGGTGCAGCGACTGGTGGTGCGACCGACTGGATCAAGAAGAACACTCCAACGAAGTATGTGTATGTTCTCGAGCTGCCACCAGACTTGTCTAGTCAGTTTTCTTTTCCTTAAATTACTCGTAGGTGTTGGATAATTGATCGTTTTGCCTGAGCTAGAAAACTTGTAGTCTCTCTAATTTGCAAGTATGAGCGGTAACGTAATCATCGCAAGAATAGATATAAATCATAATGGCTATGTGAAACAAATGGTACTGGGTATATTTTTTCTTTTTGATATTCTTCATCGGCTCACGGATAATATCTAGATTTACCTCCGAAAAGTGACTTAGTACTTTCAATAGTAGTAGACATTACAAATAAAATACAACCCCCGGCGGTTTCAATGCTATGTCTAATGTTCACTTCTGTACTGTTATATGTGATCGACAAAAATTCCTTATTCAACCGCTACTTTAGCAGTGATGTCATGCTTCAGTTATATACACAGTATGTAATGTTGAAGATGGGGGTGCCGTGACCGAGTGGTTGTGATGCTCGTCACGGCGCGCTCGGAGTCTATCCCCACCCACTTCCCCCCCCCCCCCCTCAACCCTCTCCGGCGGTCAATAACGAACGCCAAATGGAATGTCACAACCAGGACGTTCCTGAGATCACAAGGAGACTTGCTCAATCAGCATTCTGCTCAAAAAAAGCGAAAAAAATGAATTGACTGCTAGATTTGCTGGGATCTGCGCAGTGAAAAAGACACGCCGTAAAGATAGGTCAAATAAAGTAAAAAGATGCTTAAGATATGTAAAAATAGGAACTGCAGCTGGGAGTTGAACCCGTGTCTCAACTTTTTCGGTGCCGCGTGCTGACTTTGCCACTACCGGGGCTGCAGTTCCGCTATCGTTCTTTCTGGACAAAGTGTTGATATTAATTTTGCATTAGTCTCTGTTGGTTCACTGTTGTTCAATATTTTGAAGATATTCGTCTTTATATTTGTCTTTATTCATAAACAGATCTTCATTTTACTTCAAAATCCTAAATATCATTATGATAATCATTTCTACAGCATGGTTCGCTTTTCAAATCAAGCCACATTGGCTGACACCCATCGGTGAAGAAACGTGGATTGGCATCCAAGTAGGTGGTTGAATTACGGTCCTTTAAAACACTCGTTTTTTAAATACCTAATTTTGTTGCATCACGCGATCATAAACGGTGGGAAAACACATTAACTTTCAGGTGATCCTTGACCAAGTGATCAAAGAAACAATTGAGGAGCCTCGAGCACGAGCTTATAGGATTACCAATTAGATCTCTAACTATGATCTTTGGCACCAAACTTGCTCATCTTGTGTGTCACTCTTCTATGTTATGACTGATATTGAACTGGTCCGTCTACACGGGAAACTCGTTAGTGTGAATTCATAGACACAGTGGATTCATATAAAGAAATCTATAGCTTTTTACGGTAATCAAGCATGTTATGCAGTATATCAAGTCTCGTTCATAACTTATGATCTGACTCATGAATACAGCATACCTTTATGTCGAATTTATAGCTTTTTTATTGTGTGCTGCCATTTTGACATCATAATTGTTGGCCTTTACAAGATAATTGTTAGCAATAAAACTGTTAAAAAGATTTGGTACTGTTCTACTATGGCGGCATCAATTGAAGGCTTCGGTAAAAACGTATTTATTGCTTTTGCAAAACATTTCCATAGTTTTTGCAATAGCTCAAATCAAGTGAATTTCAATGGCATTTTTAATTTCTCAATTAGCTTATTTTTGGCGCCGTACAAGCCAAAATAAGATTGTGTTCCTCATTCGAAAATTGCTCATTTAATAAAGGTTTTGTTGCAGTGAACTTCTGATTGTTAGATAGAGAAAATCTTTCCAATTACAACGGCATATATGGCTTTCGGATAAAACTTCTTCGAGCTTTGTACCGACGGAGAGAATGACTAGAAGTGCTCACTGAGTGCAAAACTCAATATTCTCTCGGTCGTTACAAAGCTCGAAAAAATCCGTTCCGAAAGACAATTATACCGTTATGATCGGAAAGATTTCTTTATCTAAGAATCAAAAGTTCATTGCAACAAAACTTTTATCCAGTGAGAAATCTTTGAATGAGAAGCAAAATCATATCTTGACTTATGCAGCGCCAAAAATGAGCCATTTGAGAAATTCAACAGGCCATTGCAATTTAATTGGTAAGTGCTATCGATAAACTACAAAAACGTCTTGCAAAAGCAAAAAATACGTTTCTATCGAAGACCTTAAGTGGAGCCGCCATAATAGAGCAGTACACAAGCTTTCTTGAAACATTCCATAATTCCGAACGCTCGTTTTTTTGAGCAGTGGAAGTGGGAAGTAAAAAAAATTCGAAATTTCGCAAGCTGATTTTTGCTCTGGGAAGGAAAAGCGATTATTGATAATACATTCGAGGTACTTTTTTTTTTTTACTAAAATAGCCTTCCTACTACGTTGTGACAAAGAAAAAATTATGCGCGGAATTGATAGTATTTTAACGCATTTCGCATTGTTATGATGTTATCTATATACTTAAGAGAATTGAGTGGTGAGCAAAAACTTGGCCTCAGGTGGGAATCGAACCCGCGTTTGGTTCTACACGGGGACGCGTGCTCTAACCACTACACCACCGAGGCACAATTGCCCGACCACTCATTCTTCAACATCTCAATGTTAGCTTTCAGCCACCAATCTTTGACAGGTTTGGTCGGGTATGCGATTTCGCTCTATAAACCCAGTTGAGCTGACAGCTATTCTAATTACTAATACTCGGAATTGATAGTATTTTAATGCATTTCGCATTGTTATGATGTTTTCTGTATACTTAAAGAATTCAGTAGAATAGAATAGCTGTCAGCTCAACTGGGTTTATAAAGCGAAATCGCATACCCGACCAAACATGTCAAAGGTTGGTGGCTAACAGCTAACATTGCAGATGTTGAAGAATGAGTGGTCGGGCAAATGTGCCTCGGTGGTGTAGTGGTTAGAGCACGCGTCCCCGGATAGGACGAAACGCGGGTTCGATTCCCGCCTGAGGCCGAGTTTTTGCTCACCACTCGATTCTCTTAAAATTATGCTTCAAACTTAGGCATTATTCGCTGGACAGATTTTCCTTATAAACTTCCAGAAATCATTCGATAGTGTCCTGGTTGTTTAGTAAGGAGTGCGATGGACTGGTCTAGCTTTATTGGCAATTGCGCTAGAGTAGTTAGGCTTTAGGCGATCCAGAGTGTTGTGTGCCGTTAGCTCATTATACTTTATTGATTATTTCTGCCACACGAGCCTTATATCACTTATTTGATGACAATTGTTGATCCTGGGACCATCGAACAATATTCATCGCCATAAGAAATAACCTCAAACTTTAGTAATTGAACCGGTATACGTGTAATATAATGCGGCAATAATAGGACAGTAATGTTGATGGGCCTATATAGGACTCAGACAAATAACACGTGATAAAAAGTTGTTAACATCAGACATAAACAATGATATGAGTACTGCATAGCAGGCTCGCAAACTATAGTTGAATAGAAGGCAAGGTTTCAAGCGGCGTTTTTAGTCAGATGGCACTGCTGTGTGTGTGACGCTTTCCAAGATTCTTCTATGCTAACACTTCGACATTATAGTATTTTTACTGCTTTTTTTTCGTAGTGTTATGATGCTATTTATATAACTAAGAGAATTGAGTGGTGAGCAAAAACACGGCCTCAGGCGGGAATCGAACCCACGTTCCATCCTATCCGGGGACGCGTGCTCTACCACTACACCACTTAGGCACATTTGCCTGACCACTCATTCTTCAACATCTCTATGTTAGCTATCAGCCACCAACCTTTAACACGTTTGGTCGGATATGCGATATCGCTTTATACATCACGTTAAGCTGACAGCCACTGTTATATCTAATACTTCGAAATTTTAGTATTTTTACTGCCTTTTTTCGCAGTGTTATGATGTTACTCATATAAATAAGAAAATTGAGTGGTGAGCAAAAACCAGTTTAGTTGAGTTGAGTGTTTGCAAAAATTGAGTCTTTTTGCTCACCACTCAATTCTCTTAGTTATTCTTGTAGTGCGTTAGTTTATGGAAATTTTACCAGCACAGCAGTGGAAGGGAAACACTTCTTTCCATAGATCCATTCATTGCGCTATGTATAGTTCACTCGCACAAGTGGCCATTTGGTACGGGAAACAGTTGCCGGATCTGCGAACGTACCGGACAACTATGTGGAATACTGCAGCCGGTGGGCTGGAGCGTAAAAGTCGAAACGGCCACTTTGTATGAAAAAATAGCAGTTATTCCTACAAATAACTGCCAAAAATATTTCTAATTTCGACAGTTTTGGTCACTTGGTTCTTGATAGATTTTCGGTCTTATTCGGGTAAGAAGAGAACTTTTTCCTAAGTCTATCCTTCCGTTGGATAAGAACTTTCCATAAGAGTGTTGGTAATTTTCGGAAGCTTAACCTCTGGTTAGTCCACGTGGCCGGTTTTTGGAGAAATATTTTCCTAGCGCTGTGGCATCCAGAATAAAATTATGTTTCACAATCGTCGCGCGCCCGGATTTTATCACATGTTTCATCTCACCAGAGAAACGAAAGCATATGAACGTGTGCAGAAATCTCGCAGTATCTGAGTCAATGTTTTCTTTGGAAATTATTTCGGCTCAAAGAAAGTATTCCCAATTCAAAACAAGCTGCGTCACACATGTCCAACCCATCAGCAACGATGAATTGCCTCATCCCAACCCGCAAGTAAACCGGTAACCAAGCTCGCCGAGTATGTGGAGCTCGATATGATTTTTCCTGTCACATTGCTGTAAAACGGTCTTTTTCGGAGATAAAAATGGCGGTAGAATTATTGAAACTTACGATGTGGAATGATTACTAATAGCCTGAAAGAAGAGCTCTGACCGGAGAGGTGTATTGCACAAATGTCACTCTTTCTTCTACAGCCTTGTCAGAAGAGCTTTACCAAAAAAGCCAAGCACATCTTCAAGTTTTTTGAGACTTGTGCTATCGAAAGATTACTAGCAGTTTATAGGAGTTTTGTCGAGCGAAATATAAGCGAGATGAAACAAAAAACGCGTATGCGTTTGGAACATTATTTTACTCTGAATGTTACAGCGCTATAGAAAAACTTTTGCAGAAAAGTGATAGCCAGAAATTTGAGCTTTCGAAGAGTCACTAACACTCTTATGAATACTTCTTATCCTGCGAAAGGATAGGCCCGGAAAAAGTTTCCTTCCAAATTCCGAAAAGAATCAAATTTTTTATTACCATGTAACAGTGAGAATAAAATTGCACTTCACACACGGTGTGCATGCTCATTTCGGTACCTAGATAAAATTTCGCAACATTGGCATCAATCTATAGCGTTTTCGGAACATTACACACACCCTAGTCGTCATGAAATGCGCGCCGAATTTGTAACACAGTCTTCCTCTTGCAGCTATGGCGCACTAAAAAGCTTTTTTCCAAAACGAAGTAAACCATTAGAATAGTCCAGAATTTTGCTATCGAATGATTACTATAGTTCTGTCGAGTTCGAATAGTTCTGTAGAGGAAAAAAAGCCCGAATTTGAGGCATAATGATTTTTTTTGTCCCAATGTATTAAGTTTCAATAATAAATTATACTATTGAAATCCTCGAAAGTAAAGCTATCGAATGACTGTTCTAACTTTTAAGAAGCAAGAAGCGCGTTTTTTCTCAAGAACTGGATCAGAGTGAGGCGAACGGAAGGGTGCTGAACCTGGGAGCAAATGAAGATGAAACTATGTAAATATGTAAACTTATTTTTAGCAAATAAATGGCTTCTCAATTCTTGATTTTTTTACAACATTAAAAGTTGTATAGAAAGCAAAACTTTGGAGACAAATAGAAGGGGCGTTCAGTGTCAGGCATTGTATCGGCGTTGATCATGATTAGCCTCCATTGATTTGGTGACACTCTGGATTTGAACCACATTTGTATTGAGAAAATTGCTTAGAATACAAAGTTTAACCAGATTTCTAACCAGTCCTAGTTGATGATGGCGATCATCAATCGCGTTAGTGCTCGACCGGCTTAGCTCAAGAGAATGTACGCGGAATGTGAGTAAACTCAAGAAACTCGATTTCTTATAAGATCTATGGAGATTGGCGAGATCGTTACTGCATAGAGGCGGGTTACGCGAACAACGCAAACGCCATTCATTTAGGGATCTTAAACATATGTTGACCGAAAAACAGTGGATGGTATAATAATTTGAATGTTATGAATAAACTGATAATGGAATCTTTCTTGGCTATTGAATTGATTTCCATAGCTACGTGCTGTACATTTTGAACCGCAGATTTGATTGCAATGCGCACGATTTTTCCGACCTAATGTGGTGCACAGGATTTTTTGTTTGCCATACTTTTTGCAATTATTAGATGACCTGTTGAGAACAGATTCTAAACTGTGATTTGAGCTTTCTCAAGGTACTGCACTTTCAAAAAGCCGGTTTTGGACGATGTAATGGAATTGTAACTATAAAAGACATGTAAGCGTTGAAGAATACATCACAATTTTCACACAAAATTATGCGGAATGCTAATAACTTTGCGGTTAAATAATGAAGAATCTTTTCATCAAACACAAGAGATCTCTAAGAACATGAGAAACGTAAGTAGAAGATCATACCGAGTACATAAAAGCTAGAGTGACACAAAAAATATGCAGGAGAACTGAATGATAGAGTAACAACCTCTGCGGACTCATGGACCGTGCGTCTTGATTTTAATGAGTATTTCAAATGAACTCCAATGACACGCAGTGGGTCTATGGGCCTGGACACATCAAATTAATTGTGTTCATGGAAAACTCAGTAAACCCTTATCCGACATTTATCTTTTCAGAAAAGATTCTATTCATAGTCTACGTCTTTCGCCATTACAGTCCTCCCATTTTGACTTTTTTTACTGAGATCATCCAACAAAATACGAAGTTTATGTGGGTTGGAGAACCATCTATCTGTGCCAACTATTCATTTGTTTTTTATCACAACGTCATTATATATGAGCCGTAAAGATACAGCAATGCAAACTTTGCGCTAAAACGTCGTCTATACGCTTATCTGCTAGCCTCTCTCAGCGCTGTATACGTTTCCTTCATGTAAGAAAAGTTGTAACGTTCTGTAACCCATTTATTCCAACGTTACGAAAATAACTGGTTATAGTAGTGCTACATAGCTATCTTCGTTGTGACTTACATGTAAAACAATATGTAAATAGTGAGATCTGGGTTCAATCCGGCTGCGCAAAGTTTGCACAACGCTTCACATTATTGGGTATATTGTAACATCATAGCACCGCAAGTGGCGCTCAAATAAAATCATTTCTGAATAAGTAAATAGTCAAATAGGTATTTCAGAATTCGTTGATATATTAGTTTCATTTTTATGTTAGTAACTAAGACAGCACAGGTGTAACGTCAACCATTCCAAACTCAAGGAAACACCATTCTTATATACGCGTTCTTTCGTTGAAAAAAATCTATCGCCAACAGAAATGACAACTGTTTCAACTCCAGAGGATGAACTTTTCGTTCGTCAAAACGCTTCATTGTAGGCTTTCTTTTGAAAGAATCTATCAGATGTAAGAATGGCTTCT